ACAGAAGAGCAACTGGGAATTAGGACCCGTTACCCCTAGCAGAATTCCCTTCAACTATTTTTAGGCTGTTTCTGTCATCTTGTTAAAAAAGCCATTGTCTTGGTATAGTCATTCTTCAAGGTCTGAATCTGAAAAGTGGTGCTGGTCTCAGGGTTGGGATGTCATTCCCTGTTCCTTGTTTTTACTCATTAGTGCCTTGGGCAAAGCAGGACGTATTGCAGAAAGATCCCTGTTCACCCCTTTGGCTCATGCCACCGAGCCCTTTGGCAGTGTCACAGCCAGCAGTCTTAATGGTAGACTCTCCTGTACTATTTCTCTCCTTTTCTGTAATAATAAACCCCAACAGCTAGCGAGTATGTACTGCTTGATATCTTCGAACTGTTGGACACACACCAGTTCTTCCAGTTCTAATTCTGCTGTGTAGCAGAAGGAGAGCTATTGTATTTCATGTCATGGAAGTCATAGCTGAAGGAATTGCTCATACTCTGATTTAGCAGCAGGATCCCTGCTTCCCAGCATGGCACACCATCCTCTATCCATTTTTTCTTGTGCACAAATGGATCGGTCTCAGCTCTGATACTTACGAAGCACAAACATTCACCCTGACATCTTCATCGAAGAAAGAGATCGTCTTTGGCACACTGGTTGTCACTTCAAATTTCGGCAGCACTGGGAAGGCAATGTGAATATGACTGATCAGCAGTTGCATGCCAGAGGCAGGTGTGTATGTAAGACAGTAAAAAAAAAGGTTGACAAAGGCATTTTCTCCAACAAGGGGGAGGAAATGGTTCAGAGAAAAGTCTACCTAGGAACTGTCTGTAGGATGTTATCGGAGAAAAAATAACCTTGAGTGGCAAATGAATACCTAGTTTAAAATATAATAATAATCATACTAATAATGATAACAGCCACAGTAAGAACTGTGATAAATCACTTTAATTGGCTATATATTTTCTTCAAGAGAAAGGTGGGAGTAATGCTTATGTCTCAAAATTGCTAAGCCCTGGAGAACAGAAGTTATTGTGCAATCCAACCACACTGAAGGAGAAAGGCAACAGATTAAGTGAAATAGTAAAACCAAATAGATCACTGTCACTCCCTCTTTTCAGCTTATCCTTTGTCCCAGGTCACCAGCAATAATGACAACATAGCTGGAAAAAGCCTTTTTCTTGTGCACCTGTACACAGGAGACTGGAAGGTATGAAAAAGCTCTGGAGGGTAAGTAGGAAAGGTGCTTTATTGCCCTTAAAAACCCAAAACAAATAACTAGGAGTTGTCCAGTCCTTCTCTGGGGACTACTAAGGAAAACCTGCCACTAAAAGATGAGAAAGCTTGTAATTTTGAATTTAACAACTCCCTTGATACGGTCTATTCCAGAGAGTAAGCAGATCACATGAGGGCTTTGGAACCTCCATTACCTACTGTTTTCCATCTTGAACTTCCACTGGCTAACCAGCCTCTGTGGGTACCCCAGCCTCTCCCAGTAACAATCTGGTAGCTGTTATTTAATCTGTCTGATAGATAATATCTTCAGATTTCTACTGTATATTTTAACCTAGTGCTCTTCATACAGTGATGACCTCCACAAAATGACATGCCTGACTCATTCATTTTTCCTCTGAACAAATGGAGAGTGTATGGCCTGAGCGGTAGGATGTGGATTCCAAAGTCATACAGTGACTTTGCGCCAAGCCCAGAAAAGAATTAGACTCTTAATCTAATTCCTGAAAATGCTGCCTTTCTCATAATTTCTTTTTTCTCTTCTTGCCTTCACTTTCTCCACCCAGCTCTCTCTGCCTCTTTCTTTCTCAGGCATGAAGTGGAGAATTCAAAGCACTTAAACTCTGCACTAGCAGCTCCTGGCTGACTTAGAGCTAGCCTCATTGCTGGCGCAGGTCAATTCACAGCCATTGCTTACCATATTCCTCCACAGTGAAGAATTGGTACTGTTTTTCACCTGACGACTTCTCCACAGTGATGTGGTAGGTTCCCAGAATAGGCTCTGGGATTAGTGGAAAGGAGAGCTGGACAATTCCATGCTTAGATGTAACCTCCAGCCATTGGTAGATCTTGTTTTGCTCTGGATCCTGGAGAGTGGGAGAAAGATGTACCAAAATCTTTATCACCTTGTTTCTTGTCATCTTGCTTTCTTTTAAGGTTTGTATCCTGGCATATTGGCTAAGTAAGTGCATCACAGTGTGAATGTGAGTTCGGGCTGATGACATGTGCTCTGACTTCCCATTAATTTTCCAGATCTATCTGTGCATTAAACAAGCCTAAGTTTATGTTTAACTTGAAATTAGTTACACTGCCAGATGATCTCAGATCATCCAAGAAGAGTTGGATTGGGAGTCAGGTTGCTTATCTGTAACTTTTCTAGCATAAGTCTTTCTGACTCGACTCCTTCTGTAAAACAGGAATATAATGCTGGTCTGCTTTAGAAAGTGCTTTGAGATCTAGTGATGTGAAATGTAGTAGCAGACTGATTCATTGTTAGCCTGTCCCCCAGCAGAACATGACATTTCAGAAAGTTACTATTCTTACATCTGTATGAGAATGAGGCTATTTCTTCAGCCCATTTACAGTAATCCTACGCAAGTAAGACTATACTGAACACTCTTGTTTGAGTTGTAATGAAAGACACAGCAACAACACTATGCCATCTTTGAGTAACATCTTCAGTTCTGCTAATGTCTTCTCCTCTAGTTATTGATAATGAGTACTGCCACTGGTCAGCCTCAAGTTCATTGGCTTCAGATGGTGTGCTTCGGGTGAGTTACCCTCAGCTGTTGACACTATGGCAAATGATGAAGCATACATAGCCTTTCCAAAGCAACTTGTGCTTTCAAGACATGTTGCATCTCTTACCTCAATGATGATTTGGGGATACTGGAAGAGAAAAGAAAAAAAGAGAAAAAAAAAGAAATTATCAAAACACCAAGAAATTAAGTGTGGAGCTTGAAAAATACTAGAACATAAAGACGACTGTGAACAGCTTTCTCTGGATACAGAAGACTGGGTCAAGGAAACAATTTGAAACTGATGTCTTTAAATAAAAAGATAATTTTAAGGGAATAACCTGTTCATGAATTTATCTTTTCTACAAAAAACATCCAGTCTCTTTCTACATATCTGAGGCAGGTGAAGTAACTATAAAATCTGAGTGTTGTGAGACATTTCCAGGAGAGTTTTCAGATGCTTTGCCCTCTATAAAGACAGGGAAGGGATGGAGTGTGAACTTAAGGAGTTAAAGCAGTTCTCCAAAAACATCAGGAGGCCTATCCCAGGCCCTTTTTATTCAATTTCTAAGTGAAAGTCTCAGCAAAGAGGTACCCCAAGAGAGTGCTTGAAAAATCTTGACTGTCACTCATACTTACTGTCTCCTGAACAGGTCTGAACTGGCTGTCCAAAGTGACTATACGAAACATCACTGAAAAAGATGTAGGACAAAAAAGGATCATTCACTTTAGCATTGGTAAGTCACTTTCAACATACAACTGAAACAAAGTTTGCCCAGGCTTTTAGGGAGAAATAAAGAGTCCCTGGAGAACTAGAAAGGATTTGATTTAGCCAGTGAAAAAGAAAGCTAAAATAAACTTGTCCGCTGAAATATCTTCAGTTCTGAGCCACTGGGACTAAAGTAACCTCTAAAGTAAATACAAATAATCTGTATTGCCTTCAATTCTTCTTGAAGGACTCAGTTCTTTGGAGCATTTCCTAAAAAAACCTGTTTATAAAAAACAATTCAATGTAAAAATCAAAGAGAAGGAAGAATTTGTCTTTATTCTAAGTGTAAACCCTGTGCAGCACTGAAGTAAAATTATACTAAAGAGATAACTAACTATACCACAGCTAGTACTGTCATTTAAATGTCGTGATGGAATCAGTGCTGTGAATAAGATTAGCAGTTAAGTAGAAAGAGCTGTCAACAGAAAATTACACGCTTACTTTATATTTATATGAATTTTATTTATTCCAAGCTTAACCTATTATTTTCTATATTTTTAAGGACACTTTATGTGACTGACCTCAGTAAACCTGGCAGAACTTAAGATCCTATAAATGCAATTAACTCAATAAAAACACGTGAACTCTACTCATTTGTTGCAATTTTGTGAATTGGTTCTACTTTTCACTGACTTTTGATGAGCCCAACCTCAGGTGACAATTATCCACTATCTGAAGGATTGCTCATGGCCGTCACAGTCCATGATCTTTTCTTCCACAAGAGGAAGTCCTTGTCATTCTAGACCCACCCTCAGGTTCCCAGTTCACTAGCTGACTCAAACTCCCCAGCCACCTTTTTGCCCTGGTTTGTAGATGGGTTTGTCCGTCTGGATGAAGACAGTATTATCCACATTCTGAATCGCCACTGATCTTCTCTCAGCTAAGTTGACTGTGGTGCCTTTGGCAGAGAATGAAACGAATGCCAGGGGGTCAGAAGTAGCAGGAGGAACCTGGAGAGAAACAAAACCCCAGATGCAAAGTGGTAAATAAGACATGTTGAGGTCCTCTGATGCGCAGGGTACTTCAGTAAGATACTGACTGTCAAGTGAGTCATAAATAGCTTGTGCAAAGCCATGAGAAGCCTCGTTTTTACCAGTGAGATAGTATCTGGGAATTTATGCTGTGGAATTCCCATAATCTGTCACCAGGTACTAACGTTTTAAACTATGCCCTGCCCTATGCATTTCCTCATCTCATGTAGCTACCTGACTATATGCAGGTTGCTCCAGCCATATAGCTCAATTCTGAAGTGTTTTCTCCTGCTTCATTCTGGAAGACCTAACCTTGTGACTTGTTTGTCATATCTATCCAGATCTTGCTGAGTTACAGGAAACGGAATGAGCGTGTCCCAGCTGTCCTCTCCAGTGTGACAATTACAACAGTCCCATAGGGCACATGCACCTGTGATGGCAATCAAAAGCTTTTTTCTATTCACTGTGTGGAGATGGAAAGTCTTTCTTTAGCTCCCCATATGTCTGTCTTTTTCCTGTCTATATTGTCAGCCTTTCCAGCAGTTTATCTTTTTTCATCCTATTCCCTGCCTGCACTCTTCATCTTCTTGCCCTCACTGACAAGAAGAGTTGCACTCAGAAGTATTTCCAACTTTTACACCTTCTTCAGTAGTCTCAGAAGAGAAAATACCTTGAACTCGCAGCACTTGAAGAAATCATTCTTTGTCACGGGTTCCTCAAATATAGTCTTCTGGATACTGCCATATTCCAGGACAATGCTCAGGGACAGAGGCTCACTGAGGCTGTGGATCTGCACACAAGCAGTCTGTGGGGAGTCGCTCCGCACTACTGTGGGGACCAGCAGCACATACTGACTATAATAATAAAAGACCAGATTGGAGAGTTCAGTCATGAAGGAAAATCAGAGCAAACAGGAGAGGAAAATACCACAGAAATGCCATATGTGGGAAGGAAGACATGGTCCAAAGCTTGCTCAAATCAGTGGAAGGATTTCCATTTCTTTTAATGAATTTTGAATAATATGCTAAGAATGTACAGATGACAATTTTTTGTCCCTCACAATTCTTTCTGAGCTGAAAGCCTAGCATGATTCTATGCAGTCTCTTACCCATGCATCTTTTTCATTCCAGGTATTTACACAGCTCCAATTTCTAAAGTGTCTGAACATCTGACAAGCATAGCTGCATTTATCCTCCCATGACCTATATGTATACTTAAACCACTGGAACCTCCCATAAGGAGGAGTGATACTTAGCTTCTTTCTGAGATCAACGACAAAAATACTAGTTAATGGTTGCAACAAATTTTTAATTTATTTTTTTCTGGATATCTCTCCTTCCAGATAAGAACTGACATATTGTAAGTCAATCAGCATAATACAAGATAAATGATCCTGCTTTTCCATTTTGCAGAATATTGCAGGGAATGCTCAATCTAACCTGCATGCTCTATTCTGTTTCCATGCCTCTCCCTGTGTGGCTTTCTTCCATGGCTTTTTTAGTTACGCTACTCTCTATGATTAGGGCAGCCTTCCTTCCTCAGATTCTTCCTCTAAAAAACCATTCCTTCAGATTTGCTATATTTAGCTAAGGTTCTGTTGCTGGCTTCCCATTCTCTGCTGCCCCAACTTGGTCTTTTCGAATACTGTATGACAGAATTGACGAGTTGGTTCTGCAGCACAACATGAATCACACAATCTTTTCTTGGTAATCTGATCTTTTTCCTTATTTTCTCCCACAGCTTTGCTTGCTCCTATTGTCTTTATTGTTATTTTCACTTGCCCAGTTCAGTCTGTATGAGATTCAAAGACCAAAAGTAAAATGATTAAAACCAACACCATATCTGAGAAAGCTAAACCCTCTGACTTTCCTTTAGAACTTTTGAGAAAGGGATTTAAGCTCTAATGTTGATGTATTTTTGTAAATTCTGGCTGAAATCTTCTATTTGGATAAAGCCATGGACATTGACAGTGTTGTACAAGCCATGACAGCACAGCAGGTATAATGCTAATACTAATACGAATATGAATACTAATACGAATATGAATACTAACACTGATACCAATACCAATACTAATATTAATTAGGATTGCTATTCAGCATGTTCCCTAGAAGCAGCCATTATCTGGTCTGTAGCACCTCCTCATACACCACGCTCTCTCTGTACTGTTGATGCATACCAATCCTGATCATTAGTATTACTTGTCAGTCCAGTCTTCAATCTCCTCCCCACTTTACCCATGCACTTCCGAATTCATCTACTCCAGTTCTAGTTTCTGTCATTCAAATCAGATTTCATAGCAGTTTTACAATGGAGAGCATCATTCCAAATTATCCTTCAATATCATCTACTTCCCTTTCAGATACATTTCAGAAGCTAGGTCTCAAACATCCAGTTTATTATATAGCAATATGTCCCAGAAAAAAATAACTGATGAGAAATACAATAAAATATTTTATCATAAAAACACAGAATATAAGATTCTTACGGTTCAGAAGACACTGTAGCAATCCAGTTCAAGGACAGAATACTCAGAAAAATCCTTGACCACATCTCTGTCCGTGAAGAAGAAGAAGAGAGACCGATCTCAAGTGGAGAGCCGGTCTTCTGGCTTTTAAACTGGCCTGAGATGGTGCTCCTCCTCCACAACATCAATCATATTCTAATAAAAGCTATCTACATAAAATTTGCATAGGTTCATCTTCCTCTCTCCTGTCTGTTCTCACACTCCTTGAACTCTCAAACAATAGCTTAGGAAAGTTCTCATATTTCACATAGCTTTGTGAGGTATTGCAAGCCAAACCGGTTCCTGCCTGTCTGAATGTTTTATTGAAGCTTACCTCTCTGATTATCATGTCATTGGCTAAAGGTTTCTTAATGTTTCAACCTGTTAGTATTTGCGGCTGCATAAGTATTTCCTTGTTCTGTGAAGACATCCTGTAGATACATCTCACAAAACAGAAGTAATCATAACACAGTGCTATTGTATGCCTGCACAGGGGCCTGGGCAGTAATAATACAGCATCAGACTACATCTGCATTCAGTATGGCACAGAATGAAACTCCTAATTGTAATCTGGATTTCTTACTGCACACAGTAACATTCAGCAAGGAATGGTGTTGGCTAGTTGCCCACCATTTTTGCCAGTGGTCAGGACAAGCATATCTCTAGGGACAGAAATCTTACAGCATTACTTCATTTGTTCATCATCTATCTGTAAGTCTGCTTTTTCCCATCATCCCTGCTCACCCCATCAAATAACTTGTAAGCCTGCTGGTGAATTTTAAGTAAATCTGACTGATAAGGAGTTTCAGAATAATCAAGATATAGAATCATGAAATAATTTAGATAGAAAGGACCTCCTGACATTAGGTGGTCCAATCTCTTCTTTCAAGCAGTGCTAGCTTCAAAGCTTGTCCAGTCATATTTTGAATATCTCTAAGGATGAAGAGTCCACACCATCTCTGGACATCTGCTCCCATGCTTAACCAACCATGTTTTGAACATTTTTTTCCTTAAATCACAATTACCCTAAACTATAACTTGGGACCATTGCTTTTTGTCCTTTCACTGGGCATCCTTAAGAAGAATCTGTCTGTCTTCTCTGTAATCCCACTTTACATAGCAGAAGACTGCACTTATGTTCCCTATTAGCCTTTGTTTGTCCAGGCTGAATAAATGAGACTGTCTCAGTTTCTTTCTGTAGGTTTGTTCTAGCCACTGACCATCCCAGTGACCTTCCACTGGACTCCCTCCAGTCTGTCAACACCTTTTTTGTACTGGGAAGCCAAATCTGGACACAGAATTTCATCTGTGGTCTCACAACTGCTGAATAGAGGGGAAGAATCAATTTCCTTGATGTGTTAGCTACACTCTTGGTAATATAGCCTGAACACAGGAAACTAAATAATGGAATATAAAATATGCTATTATAAATAATAGTAAATAAAATACAACAGTGGGAGACTGCATTCACACTTTTACATAGGAAAAGAAAAGAAAAAACAAAAACAACCAAACAAAATAAGGTAGCCAATCAACATGTGTGTAACTGCAACCTAGGGGAAGTAACAGGCAATTTCCCTTCCTCTTCCTCAGCCAAACAGGTGGTAAGAGGAAGCTGAGTATACTGTAGGAGTAATTAGGGACATGAATGAGAGCTAGAGGCACTGAAAAAGGTTTTAGACAATGCAGAGTGGGCCTGAAGTTATTTCAGTGGTAAGAGGTAGGAGAAGGAAATGAGGACTCCTCTAGTGAAGTGACTGTTGAAAGCCAGATTCTGTCCATTTCGCTTCTCATGATATAATGCATTCTTGCTAATGATTCAGCCATACAAGGACTATTCTTTCCATCAGCATAGGCAATACCCTAAACTACCCATGCCTAACCAGCTTACCTACCCATCTTTCACAGAAGCTTTCTGATGACCAATTTAGGACACAAAGAAAACTGCCCCGGGGGCTATTGGAGCTACTGTCTATTCCCACTGAGTTACTAGTAAGAAATATTACACAAAGCTTCCCAGAATGATCTGACATTAAGGTGACAATGCTGCGTGGCAGATGGGTGGTGTGCAAACAGGGCGGTCACATTGTGAAGAAAGCTGCTGCATTAGTTGTAATAAAGGCAGAAGACAGCTGAGGATATGTCGCAGAAATGTTTGTATTTGCAGCTTTGAAATGCCTCAGACCCCACGTCTTACTTCAAACAGTACTGAGTAAGAGGAAAAAAAGAATTAAGGAGGGAGAAGGAAATATTAATCAATTCCAGGGCCCTGGTGCAAATTGCTTCAGAAGCTCATCCTTTATTTAAGTGCAACATACCTTTAGCATAAATGTAAGAAAGTTTTCTTGTTGATACATAGACATGGAAAAGAAAAAGCATTTGAAAAACTGAAATCTTAGAAGGCATTATGTTCAGACCAATTAAAGAGCACATGTTTCTCGAAACAAGCTATTGAATTCATTAGTGAAATTACTGATCCCAGAGGACCTCTTTGTATTGTAGCAATGTTGTGATAAAAAAGTAAGCTCAAATTTTTATGCACTTCACTACTATGTCAGGGATAATTCTTAAGAAGACCACAATGCAATGGGGAAATTATTCCAGTTGTCTGTGGTAGGAGGGAAAAAGAAGTTGTGTGTTGCATAATTAAGAAATTAGGTGCAGGGGGAGATTAATCATCTAGAAGCATGAAGATCAAGATTTAACATGGGGTAGATATAATGAACCTCACACTAGGCAGCTGTTACAAGACAGACGCACAGAAGATACCTTGATACTGCATGTCATATAAACCGATATGTTGACCTTACACTGGCACTGCTTTGTATTGGCATAAGGAAAGATGTAATTGGAGATCATAGTTTCGCTAGAAAATTGATGAAATAAGGAACAGTGCCAAATGCACTTGAAGACCAAAACTATGTAAATACAGACTTAAGTATCACATGTATACTTGGTTTTCAAAGTAGAGTCATGTTGCCTGCTCTTTGGACAGCAGAGAAGCAAGATTTCTTCAGCTTATTCAGTCCCAACTTCAGAAAGTTACTGCATTTGCTCTCTCTTATGAAGAAATTTTATTTACACATACATTTTTGTCTCCATTCTTTCTCTAAATGAGTCAGAAGGATGATTGTTGCAGTTGCATTGGAACCATATGTTTTTCTCAAGTTAATTTTCTTTCAAATAAAGCTTAATTTTCCAATCTATTTTATCACATCAGATGCACCCGTCCTCTTCTTCTCTTTTACAGTGGACACACTATACATGGCAAGGCAATGTAAAGTTTTCCAACTAACACTGATCCCACTCACTTTCTGAGAGCAGTTAAGTGTTTTGCATGTACACTGCAATTACAACACAAAATTCTGTGAGGTTGTGACAAGCTCACCTCTGAGACTCCAGCTAGCTTGTGTAGAGCATCTCAGATGTTCCTATGTTGTCCCAAAATGCCCAGTATAGCTGTATGTGCAGAATTTAGACACTAGATGTAGTCACAAATTAGAAAATAAAAATATCAAAGAATGTCCATTTGCCCTGCAGAACACTGCATAGTCTGAAAGTGGAGTTGAGGCACTCAAATTCTCAGTGTAAGTTTGTGTCAGAGAAATAGCAGGAAGTTCAGTGGAAATATGAGCAGCTTTCAGCAGAGAAGCCTTGGATTTTCCAGAAGAATGAGTAATACATAATTACTGTTTTCTGTTCTATGGCTCCACTTCACATTTGCATAGCACTTAAGGCCTGAGAGTACTTTCTACGTCATGACTTTACCTGAGATGAAGTGCAAACAATCCACCCCACACTACAATGCCCATTTTTTTGTCTGGTTTCTTTCTCTCTCAACAGGTAGATGTGGAGCGAGAGCCTCAGCTTTCATTTCGCTTATGCAAATACCCTCATCATCTGTGATCTTCTCACAAAATTCTATCGTAATCTGAGAAATGCTTCCCCACAACACATTTATCAAACCCACTGTGACAAAACATTTTGTTTTAAAAAGTTGACATATCTCTGAATAGTATTGTATAAGTCTCAGAGTTTGGATGCTTTGGATGAATTTGCCTACACAGCCTTCCACTGTTCCAGGGCATAACCCCACCTGCAAGCTTTTAGGTTTGCAAGTGATGGTATTCCTAAGAATGTTTGCTGGCAACAGGCAGCTGGTAGTGCGGTTGGTACAGTATAGTGTATAATTTCATGTTGAATAGATGGAACATTTTTCTGATAATGCTCATTTTCTGTAATAATAAGGATCAAGTAATATTATGCATTGTAACACTGTTATATTGAGAAGAGTAAACAGCACGCTGTTCCGTCCCTGCAAGATCTTTGTTACAGATGGACTGAGAGTAAACTAACTAGTAAGCTGTCAACATCATCTTCCTGGAACATATTTTAGCCCTGCCTATGAAAAATGAAGTATTGCAACTTCATATGGCATGAAAAACTTGAAACACTATCCATTTTTCTTCATCTAGAAAGTGCAACATATGTAGACATCCTTGAAAAATCCCTGCTGTGTTTAAATGATGAAAATAGGAGGACATAAACAAGCAAGGCAGGCCAAAAAAAGATTCTAAAAAGACTAGCAAAGACAACCAAAACTAACAATCAATCTTTCTTCAAAAACAACAAGAATTGGAAGCCTGTCAGAGAATCCACAGGAACACATAATCAGAAGGATAGAAGAGGAGGTCAAGAAGAGTGCAGGAGCAGTACAAACAAAAACTGTTGTTCCCTATTGTTTTAGTTAATCTAATAAGTATTAAATATTCCTGTATTTAAATGAATCATTTGATATCAAAATTTAATTTCTCAAAAAATGTAATACCCAACAATCTATGGACAAAGTAATTCTGATGCAGTAATTATATTGCTGCCATTCTGAATTAGCTCAAAATTTTGAACAAATGACATATCGATTTAACTTAAGATTTGGTTATTACAGACCTTTGCATTAAGGAACCATGAACATGTATTTCACTTGATCACAAGGGATGAAAATGTGTGTCAGGGAGCCTTTTAAAGGGTAAAAATATTTTTTTTTCCT